CACTTGGGTCCCGGCCCAGATCAACTTCCTTGGTATTTTGAAAACTGCCGCGGCCGGGCCCCTTTGTGCCCGAGGTGCGTGACGATGGCGACGCGCGGGAGGGGTCGCCAGCTCAGGGGACCGCACAGCCGGGATCCTGGCGGGGGCGGGGACCGGACCCCGGATTTCAGCCCCACACGCTCTCCTCGCCCATCCACCACTTGAGAGAAGCAAGGAGCCTTGGGTACCGAACCCAGCGCCCACTGCTCGGTTTGCTCACGACTGGTCAGTTTTCCGCACTTTAAGTTCCTAGGTCCCGGGCAGGTCTGCACTGTTGTTTGCACCCTTAGGAGCTGAGGGACGTTGGGCATCCAAGTCGGGTCTGCAAGAAAGAACTAGGCCTGGAGCCCTCTCAAATTCGCTACGCTGTGGCAGGGCCTCTAAGGGACCTCAAACACGGTGTTGACTCTTGTCTTAAATGCCCTTTGCATTAAATGAGCACACATGTACTGAACACCTACCAGCTCCCAGGCTCTGCCCTAAGCTCTGTGGAGGACGGAGAACAGATACCTCATTTACTGGTAAGTAAGGAGCAGGAAGCCAGCAATTAAGCAACAGCACGGAGACGATGTGATGGATGTTTTCACAACAAAGGGCAGGGGCTCCAGGGTGAGGGCAGCTTAGCTTGGTTTCTTGTGTCTGGAGAATGGAGATTGGAGAAAGCTATGTCAAGGTTAACACACAGAAGCAGCCAGTTGACGGAGGAAGTCTGGAAGGCTTTCTCCACTTGGGCTTCATACAACAAACAGAGCATGCTCATGAACAGCCCCAGTTACACAAACGTGGGAGAGGTGGGTGTTATGTAAACCGCGTATAAAGGGTTATAAGCGCCCTGCTCCAACATTTTTTTGGGCTTTTCTTTCAGTTCACTAGGCCGCTCTCACTTTCCCATAGCTCCTCATCCCCCACCAGGAATTATTACTTTATGTGTATTTAAGAGCATCGTGTGTGTGCAATGTCTGTGGAGGCCAGAAGAGGGTGCCATATCCCCTGGATCTGGAGTTACGGATGGTAGCTGCCATGTGGGTGCTGGGAACAGACCCAGGTCCTCTTCAAGAGCAGCCAGTGCTCTTAACTGCTGAGCTGTCTCTCCAGTTCCTCTCTCCCTTTCTTATATTTTTTTTTATTGTTTTATTTTATGTGCCTGAGTGTATTGCCTGCTTGTAGGTAGTTGCACCCATGCGGTGCAATGTCTGTGGAGGTCAGAAGAGGGCACCGGATCTCCTGGAACTGGAGTTATAGATAGTTGTTAGTCACCATGTGAGTGCTGGGAATCAAACCTGGATCCTTTGCAAGAACATCCAGTGCTCTTAATCACTGAGCCATCTTTCCAGCCCCCTCTTTCCTTTTCTTAATAAAGAATCTATTTCTGTTTGTAACCATGTGTCCCTGGTTCAAGTTTTTGATGTGCTGGCACTCAGATCATCCTGAGTGTAACACTGACTGTGACAGCCATGCTGTCCACTTCTGCCCTCCATGACCTACTCGTTTAAGGACCGAGCAAAGCACCTGATATCCAAGGGGAGAGAGATTTTCTCCTTGACCCAGCAACAGCCACTGCCATTCCAATACCCCAGCAGAACACAGAGGGCAAGACTTGATTATCTATAGCCTGCTCACTTGCCAAGGCAAAGTGTATTCTCCCCACTATCTCAGCACACTTTCATATAATCTGTAGGCAGAGAGGACAGAAATTATGCTTCCCATTTTACAGATGAGGAGACTGAGATTCTGAAAGGACACTGCCTTGCCTGGTAATGGTCATGGTATACTCCTGTGACCTAGTGTCTGGATTCTGAGTCTGGGTTTCTGAGAATCATGGCATGGCACCAAGTAGACATTCACATCCTTCAAAAGAAACTTCATCTCTGTGGTCTCCTGTATATGAACTTATTTGACTCTTTGTATTAGTTACTTTTCTTGTTTCTGTGACAAAATACCTGACAAGCAACTTAAGGAAGAAAGCGTTTATTGGGGCCTAAGATTTGAGCAGATAGTCATAACCTCTTTTTCGTCCTTGAGCATGGAGAGGCTTGACCATGTCTTAGCCTTAGCTCACTAGTAAGTGGAAACATTGGGATTTGAACCTGCTGGGTTGGGATTTGAGCCTACCAGGTGAAATTCAACACTTATAAACTCAGCCACAGCCTCTCATAAAAGGTGCTCAGATGTTTGTGGACACAGAGAACAAAAAGCAACTCTTGATTTTATCCATGTTTTCTGTAGTGGTAGGAAAGGGCTTCAACATTTGTGTGAGAGGGAGAGCACCCTTCTACTGCCTCTCTGGGTTCAAGGATATTTCATCCTGGCTGCTATGAACACGCAGTGTCATCAACAGTCCTGAAACCTGCTGGCACCTGGCTACAGATAAGCCTTGGGTGTGCAGAGCAGAGCAAGGGCCAGCCCTGAAGAGGCAGAGGATATACTGACTGGGTTCTAATAACATTCTGAGCTGGGTGTGCTGGCACATGCCTTTAATCGGGAGGCAGAGGCAGGTGGATCTCTGTGAGATAGCCTAGTCTACATAGCAAGTTTCAGGCCAGCTGGGACTTAGGGAGACCCTGTCTCAAAGCAAACAAATAAATGAAAAAACACCTCCCAAACCCCAAAACAAAAAATGACTGGGGAGAGGAACCCAGCTTTGTGAAGTGGCAGGAAAGAGCTGATGAAGCATCTGTGTGGTTTGGAGTGAAGAGACCAAAAAGAGGAGGCCCAGCAGGCCCACGAGGAGGTCTTGACACAGAGCACGGGCAGCAAGCAGGGTTTCCTAGAGGGCACACCAGACTTTGGGTGATCACTTTAAGCTGCAAGTTCAGATGCCTTTGACCTGCAACCTGCAGGGGAGGAGCAGGGTCACTGGTGGTTGGTGGATCCATGGATTCATGAAGATGGAGAGCCCAGTGTTTCTGAGCAGCGTTGCCATTTGCGCAAACCCTTGCTCTCAAGCCTCCCCTGATACCAATTCTCTTTTTCTACTTCAGGTAAAAACCAAACCTCTTCCTGCAAGTTTCACTGTTCCATCTCTGCCTGCGATTCACCGCCCCCCCAACCCCGTGCTCCTCTCCCGTACAGGCCTCTGGCATCATGTGCACTTCTCCACGGGCTGGCTTCCTCCAACACTCCTTAGAATTCAGCTCTAGCCTCAGTGCTCTGAAGTCACTGTCATCCTCCTGGTTACCAAACAGAATAGCCTTTCCATACTTGCAACCTCTTCAACTGTGTTGTGCAATTAGCACTGTCAATTGACACTACTCAAAGCTCTGTAGAAAAATAGAATAGGCTAAATAGCTGTGCCCTTTGTACTCAGGGCATACAGACCCACCCAGGGTCTCCAGACCCCCAGCAGATACCTGAAACTGCAGACAGCACGGAACTCTACATACACCTGTACATACAGACCCATGGTAAAATTAAATTTATGCATTAAAGGCCCAGAAAAAGAATAAGTACAATAAAATGGAACAATCATAACATACTGTGCCTGAAACTATGTGATGTGGTTGGTTTCTTTCAAAGTATCTAATTGTACTGTGCATAAGAACGGGTGGTTAGCACACATGGTATGGGTGTGCTGGACAAGGGGTGATTCACATCCCCGGAGGGACAGAGCAGGATGCGGTGAGAGTTCGTCATGCTACTCAGAACTGCTTGCAATTTAAAACTGATGGATTGCTTATTTCTAGAACATTCCATCTGACATTTTTTTTTTTTGCAGCACAACTGCCTGCAGGTAATTGAAACTGTGGAGGGCAAAACTGTGGGTAAGAAAAGACTATTGTACACACATTCACACATATATACATACATGACCACATGCACGTACACAAGTACACATGTGCATACACGCAACACATATACACACACACGCAGGTACACACATACACAGACATGCACACACACATAGACACACACATATATGTACACATATGTACACACATGCATACACACGCATGCACACATGTACATACATCATACAGGTACACATATCACCCTCTTCAATATGTACATCCTTTATTAACTTCTCATATATATATGGAGAACCATAGAGATATTTGAAGGAATTTGCTCACAATGCTGTGAGGCTTACAAGTAAAAAGTTTGCAAGGCAATGGGGTTGTAGAGATGGCTCAGCAGGTAAAAACACTTGTTCTTCCAGAGGACCCAGGTTTGAGTCCCAGCACCTACATGGCAGCCAAAAACCATCCTAACTCTAGTTCTAGGAGATCTAACACCCTCTTCTGACCTCTGCACAGGCATTGCATGCACGTGGTACACTTACAAACACGCAGGTAAGACACTCATACACATAAAAATAATAAAATATTTTTAAAAATTTGCAGGGTAGGCCCCAGGGACCAGTCAATATTACATCAAGTCCAAAACTGGTATGGAGTGTGAGGTTCCTGAAAGCATCCCAGTCTTTGCTTTTTTAAAGACTTCAGCTGGGGGTACAGGGGAGGCTGTGGGTGGGTGCCGTTTGGGATGTGGGTATATAAATGAATAAGACTGTTCGGGATGTTCTGTATGAAATACACAAAAAAATCAACAAATTAAAAAATGAGTTATATTTGAGGAACAAACGTAAAAATTTGCTTCATGTTAATTAGCAGAGGTGAAAAACATTATCATTGAAAGGTACCTGGTGACTTTATATCCATGCTCAGGTCCCAAGGATCTCAGAAAGTAACTGACTGTGACTGGTAATAATCAGATAGAGATTAGAGACACATGTGCAAATATCTAAGTGTTAGAAGCATTAAAAATGAGTTTTTCTGTATGAAACAGTATATTTTAAAATGAAATGGAGATCTTTGTTTAAAGGTTAAAGCCTCATGCAATTTTATGTCTTATAGGGTTTATACTGAGTTCAATATTGTATAACTGTATTA